AGAGTTCACACTTACCTTTTGATACCAGATATTCATGTGCTTTCTGCATTGGGTATGTCGCCATGATTCCCTGAAGGAATGCATTGACTTCTGAGATCTCATGTGACGTAACATCCTCTGCAGTACCAGTATGAGAATAATAATTGTTCATCAAAGCCTCAAACTGAGCATAAGACTTCAGTGATCGAAGCTGGCTGTCAACGCTTGTGAATAAACTAATAAAAATCCAGAACATGATATATATTGAATGATTTATAATCAAATTCATTTTATTTCTATTAAGTTTGTATCACAATTTTTCTATTGCTACACAGCAACATATGTATATTAATAAGATGTAGTTTGATCATTGTATGATAATACATGTACTTTTGTACATTTGTTTTTTTAGATTTGTAAAAATACATTTTACCGATAATACCTTTTACAAAAACAAATAAAAACTCGAGTGATGTGTTTTCTCTTACTTGTTCGGTGATAGATCATTGTGTGCATTTCTGTCATCTATGTATGCTTGTTTATTGAGAGTAATCTCAGATTCCCTAGCAGCATTCCAGTCACCATACCACATCTCGTTAGCAACGCGAGACAAATCATCTCCTGTAAAGTAAATACTACAGTAAATCAGACTGTGGAATAAATATGAATCAAATAAATTCAGGGTTTCAATTGAAACTAGTACCAACACAACAAACCACTAGATTGTTTCCTTGCTCACTGAAATGATCATACATTGTATATAATAGTATAATAATATTGAATTTATTGCATTCTTAGAAATAATTTCCATTGGTTGAACAGCAATAAAATGTTAGTAATAAAGTACAATACATATAAAACTAAAGTAAAAGTAAAATGTCAGTTATTGTTATTTCTGATTTTAAATATTTTGTATAAGTATTCACCAACTTGTCTTATTAGTACGTCTTCTCTTGAACTCATAATATATCTGGTTATCACTTTTCAATTCTTCTGGAATACTGATATTATTAAATAGCTTTTGTCTTTCTGTTTGGTACCTAAGACATTCCATGAAGAAATATTCTTCATTTTCAATTTTGATCTGGGAACATTGCCTACAGATTCTGTCTTCTAAAGGTATTTTGGGTTGGGTATGTCTACCCTTCTCAATTTCTAATACATGACTGCTTATTCTATTTCAGCTACCCTGTATGTCACTTTTTTGTTCCACCGTTCTCTCAAGAACCACTAATTGAATTTCGATGAAACTTGGTACATAGATGCTCTGGACCAATGCACAGATTTGATTAGGTTTTGGTAGTTATCCATGCATATTAATTACCTAATTTGCATGATAATTAGCTCATTTTTAGCTGTTCCATGACTGTTCCACTGATATCTAAAGAACCCCTTGTTGGATTTCGATGAAACTTGGTTCATAGATGCTCTGAACTAATGCCAGGTTTTGATTAGTTTTGGGTAAAAATCTGTGCATATTAATTACCTAATTTAAATTAATGCTTAATTCAAGTTTGGGTTTATAGATAGGGGTTCAATATAACGTATCTCCCGACTACGCGGTCTGTTATATAGTTATTTAAGTTATAATTTGTATGATGTTACTCAACTAAACACAACAATATATACATTTATGTGTGGTAAGATACTTTGGGTGATGACAGGATATAGAATACAGAAACAGCTTGTTGACAGTTGAACAAATTTATTGAAACACTACAGTCATGGAAATGATTGACTTGTATACATTGAGAATTCGGGGCGGGAAGAATATCAATTACATTGTTATAATTGGTCAATTTAGATGAATTATGATCGACTATTTTTTACATCTATGTGATTGGTTATATAATTGAGATGCATGATTGGAAGGCCAAAGGTCGGCATCTGTAATTGGTCTTACAGGGGAGACGTGTGATTGGGTAAAGGGTTGAAGGTCGTATTCGAAATTGTCACCAGGCTCGGTGACTTTGATTTCCAACAAGTGGCAATTTAATTTAATTTAATTTAAATTGTATTTCTATATAGGATTGCAGTTTAATTGAGTTAAATTGGTAATCCACCTTAACTCAACTAAAAATGAAATTCTTTAGCATGATTTCCATGAACGCATATAGGAAATTACAAAGTCTGATTTGATATTGACCTTATTACACGACAACCACTTGACATAGTACCGTTAATACCAGTGATCGTTTCCATGGTTTATATCGTAACCTGGTTGATTGACTGAAACCACCCAACTCACGACAACTGCGATACAATTAAATTACATCATGGCCACTTGATGGTTATGCCACCTAAACTACACAAGCTTTGAGCAACTATCACATGACTATTATATTTTGTAAAACGCCAGTGCTTCTATTCAAGCTGAAACACCCTTGCGTATTTGTGTCCATGCGACTGAGTTGAAGAGGAATGCCTGCCTTGCCTCTCAAAATGCATGCAATAGCGTTTCAGAGGGTGTTGAGCAGATATCGCCCCCACATGCCCAATTTCGTGCCGACACCTCTGAACACTTTCAAATAGATTCATGATATTTTAGCAAATTTGGTTCAAAGCTCAATTTAACAGACTATTAATATAGTTAGAGTGCCAACAATTTCATTGTGAGAATATATTTTCTTTTAAATTAGCTAAATTACATGCTATATAAAGACGTGTAGAGCTTTATAACCTCTGGGTATTTATAACAATAGGACTTTAATATTACATATGTACTGCAGTGGCGGATCTTGGACCCCCCTAAAAAAAATTCCTGTATCCGCCCCTTGTACTGCAGTTAATTGTGATTCATCCCTGAAATCAAAATCAGTATTTCCACACTTCATATGCAAATGAAGTCTGAGAGCAAATAAAGTAGTCCTTTCGGGAGTACCGTTTTTCGAAACATACCAGAAATAAACAATATTTAGAAGTACGATACTTTACCCTTGGGATACATGAATATACTTGCCAAGTGAAATGAAATTTGAACAACAGTAATGGTAATTTTAGGCAGTCACTTATTTTGACTAAAGCTAATTTGCATATCACCCATGCAATAATGTTTTCGGTATTTTCACGGTGGATATGCAAATGAACAGGTATTTCCATTGGCTACCGAACTATTTTTATTTTGTAAACATATTTTCGTCTGCTATTTTTGAAGATGCGAGATGCGGTGTATTCGCTTCGCTCCTGAAAGTGCGACCACAGAATACACCGCATCAGTCGTGAAAACGAAACGCAACGAAAGCCATGGGAAAGGTGTGGGGCTCTGTTATAGTATCATCGAAATACATGCACATTGATAATACTTCAAAACACTTACCTGTGCATATGTGGTTGTAGTCATTGCAACAATTTCCTGCATTAGAACACTGGTTATCACAGTGACATGTGTTACCTCCATTATATGTTTCGCCACAGCGGTTCACGCAGGAAGTTTCGGCACCTAGTATAAAGTAGACCTCAAACTTACCAAAAAGATGTTATTCATTTATGAACGTGCATCTCTATACATGTATAGCCATTTTGTGTCAAATGTGTTATTTTGATTATAATGACAGCAACAGACAGGAACATGTTGCAATATCATTGTATTTATTTGAAAACCGATATTTGTCATTTTTTTTTTTCTTTTATAATGTTTTTTTTTATTCATATATTTTCCCAAAAAATTACATTACTTCAAAATAATCTTACTTATAATAATCTTATTTGTCATTCATTATTCCTTGCTGTGTCTTGTATAAGAAATAAGGTTTGGTGATAAACATTCCATTGTATAGAAAATGTCTAAGGAAAAAGAAATATTGTTTTCTTCAAAGGTGCAGTAATTTGTTTAAGCAAATATTATGGCAAACTATAGTGCATCTTACCTGTACATCTAGCTTCACCGTGATAGTCACTACAACAATTACCAGCCGTTCCACAGAGCGAATCACACTGGCAGGATTGTCCACCATCGTAGGGGGCTTACACCGATTCACACACGAGGAACATTCTAGATAGAACAAAATGCAAATATGTTATACAAATATTGTCGTCTCTTTAGATCTCTAACACAGTAATACTGGTTTCACCACGGACGTACGGCACACTACACCCACCCTACCCCCAAAATGACAACACCCTACACTCATATAAGAGTGCAATCTAGCCAGTATACTCAGGAAAACCATAAGACAATAAGCGCAACTTTCATTCTTATAATAAATGAATTGTATTTACCACATGAAGTGTTTTTTTTGAAATACAGCAATTAAAAAAATTTGCAAATATGAAAAACTTGAATATTCACTTGCTAATTGTCAGTGTTGAAGCACATTTCACACAATGCGATATCATATACATTGCCATATGCCAATCCAGTTGCGTGCCACATTCACCCAAACATAGAATTCAACAATTACATAATGTGATGTCTCACATGTTGCCATACGCCAATCCAGTTGCGTGCCACTTTTACCCGAACATAGAATTCAACAATTACATAATGTGATGTCTTACATGTTGCCATACGCCAATCCAATCACGTGCCACATTTACCCGAATATAGAATTCAACAATTACATAATGCGATGAATCATATGTTGCCACATGCCAATCCAATTGCGTGCCACATTTACCCGAACATAGAATTCAACAATTACATAATGCGATGACTCATATGTTGCCATATGCCAATCCAATTGCGTGCCACTTTTACCCGAACATAGAATTCAACAATTACATAATGCGATGACTCATATGTTGCCATATGCCAATCCAATTGGGTGCCACATTTACCCGAACATAACATTCAACAATTACATAATGCGATGGCTCATGTTTTTTACCCGAATGCATTGCCACATGCAAATCCAATTGCGTGCCACAGTAACTCAAACATAAAATTCAACAATTACATAATGCGATGATCATGTTTCAACATATTCATTGCCATATGCCAATCTAATTGTGTACCATATGCATTGATATTCATATAAATCGACTCACATAAGGCTACATATAATATGTATGTATTAATCAGCCCAATTATTCTATACAATTATACAATTGTAAACAACTCGTTGGTACTCACCGCTGTAAACAGCAAAATACAAACACACTAACACTAGTAATTTTAACGTCATGGTCACTCAACAGTTCTATAGTAACTGGTGGTCCTGAGTAACATATAGATTGTGTGAGAAGATCCATTCCGTTGACACCTGCTATTTCTACAGATATATCTCCCTGTAATCAGACATTCCTTACCTGTCATCAATTTTATAATCTGTAATTTAAATATTGTACCTTTATTCCGTGATATCATATTATTTGCGAACTTACATGCCATGTAATCATGCAATTATATTGAATTATGGAAAAAACAAATAACCTCAAAAAAAATCATCATCAGGTGAAAATAATAAATTAAGAACTTATTGTAAATTCAAAAATGAATTCAAAATTGAACAGTATTTAACACAAATTAAAGACCCCCACTATAGAAAAAGTATCTGTAAATTCAGGATAAGTGACCATGGTCTAATGATAGAGAAGGGTAGGCATGTTAGACCAAAAATAAAGTTTGAAGAAAGGGTATGCAAAAAGTGTGATACGGATGCAGTGGAGGATGAATTCCATTTCCTGATTGATTGTCCAAATCATAAAAAAGATGTAAGCTGTTTGGAAAAATTGCTTATATACATCCATATTTTAATTTAATGAAACCAGATGACAAGTTCATATACATTATGAGCAATGTAGATAAGGAACTTGCGAACTATATTAGAGAATGTGGTGCATTTTAAATATATATATCAATATTTCATAATTTTAAATATGTATTTATTTAAACTACATATTAATTTCTTCCTTCTTTTTTTAAAATGTTAATTGTTAGTTTAGCACTTGGCTGTATGTTCTCTTCAAACGGAATGATGTCAATAAAGTATTATTATTATTATTATTATTATGCAATTATAGTTACAAGGTAGGTCACAGTATATTTGAAAAAGCTATCTGGAGATGAATGCTCATTTCTGACAGTCAAAACAATTACATTGACAAACACTCCCTATCCTATGCCAGAGATCTATCTCTGTTTTTAAGCTTTATCAGTTACAGCTCCCCTAACACTATACTAGAGTTATGACCTTCTTAACAATGTGTCAGAGTTAGGAGTCTCCATTTGGCTTTGGTTGATGAAATTATGAGCTCCCCCTTAACACTGTATGAGGTATATAAAGAGTCATGACCTCTTCCTGACAGGAATTATGACTACTTTCTAACACCAGGCATAACTACCCCTCTTTTGTATCTTATCAGTTATGACTTTTTCATTAAGTAACACAAGTTTTAGCTCCTCCTTGGCACTACTTAAAAGTGATCTAACATCTCCCTAACACTACACCAGAGAGATTTTCTCCTAACGTTATACCAAAGCTTTTCAACACTAGTTATGACTCCTCCATAACACTGTATTAGAGTTACTCCTCCCTAACACTATATATGAGCTACTCCTCCCTAACACTGTATCAGAGTTACTCATCCCTAACACTATATATGAGTTACTCATCCCTAACACTATATCAGAGTTACTCATCCCTAACACTATATCAGAGTTACTCATCCTCTAACACTATATACGAGTTACTCCTCCCTAACACTATATATGAGTTACTCATCCCTAACACTGTATCAGAGTTACTCATCCCTAACACTATATATGAGTTACTCATCCCTAACACTATATCAGAGTTACTCATCCCTAACACTATATATGAGTTACTCATCCCTAACACTATATATGAGTTACTCATCCCTAACACTGTATCAGAGTTACTCATCCCTAACACTATATATGAGTACTCATCCCTAACACTGTATCAGAGTTACTCATCCCTAACACTATATATGCGTTACTCATC